ATTGACGGTCACGGTTATGCGAAACAAAATCTTGTATTAATTGAAAATTCATAAACTTGATAGGATCTGTAACGCGTTTTGCGGAGTTATAAACACGAAATCGCTGAACTGATAAATGTATCTTTCTTCGAGGAAAAGCATGCATATGTTTATGGGTGTGTGTGTGTGTGTGTATGTGTGTGTGTGTGTATGTGTGTGTGTGTGTGTGTGTGTGTGTTTGTGTTTGTGTTCAAATAAAACATTTTCACTAAATGTAAGAAAGCTCGCTTTTGAGACCAGTTTCCTGCTAATGCATAGTAGCAGTGTAAAAAAAAAAAAAAAAAAAAAAACAACACAATAATACAATACTTATGTAGGTAATCCGGAGTGCGTTCACCTTTCGTTACGCATTCGCACATAAATGGGTTTTTGTGTGAGTAAGCGCACGTTGAAGTATGTTGAAGGCTAAGTTTTTTTGTTTTTATTTTTATTTTTTTTATAATTTATAATATTACTTCTGGTATATGCATATATAAAACTCATATATACATATATCATATATAACATTTACATACATTTAAGTGCATAATAACAATCTCGAGAGTCTTTTATACACTAACAAAACAATAAGTGTATACGCTTAGCAGCAGCAGCAGCAGCAGCAGCAACAACAGCAACAGCAACATCAACAGCAACAGTAGCAGCAGTAGTCGTAGTCGTAGGGGCAAAAAGGCGGAAAACAAATTGCAAATACACAACAGGTTAAGAGTGTGAAGTGAGATATAATTTATATGAGAGAGGAAATAAATTCAAAAATACAACAGGTTTTTAAAGCAATATTTGACACTAAAAATGAAAAAAAAAAAAATTTTTTTTTATTATTTAAAATTTTAATTGAAATTTAAGAACACTTCAAAGAGTTTTTTTTTTTTTTTACACCCAAAGCAAAAGAGCAACTGTAGTGATATGTATAAAAACAAAACACCATTACAGAGAACAAACAAAAAAAGGCAAAGGCAAATGTTGATATCGCCAGCAGGCATTTAATAAAATTTACAATTTAAATTTTAAGTTGAGACCTTTTTTCTCGTTCTTACACGCACACATATGGTTGCGTTTAGCCGTAAGGCTTAACAACAATCACGACACAACAGCTTCTTAAATGTTTAAAGTGTTCAGCAGCAGCAGCAGCAGCAGCAGCAGCAGCATATGGAAGTAAAGGGAAGCAAAGTGATAATTTCTTTTCTTTTTGTTTTTGTTCTTTTTTTTTCTGTCCCTGATGCTCTTAGAACAACAATAGCCATGAAAAGGAGTTGATGGTATGTTCAAAGCATATGTTCAGAGTTTATGGCTGTAGGTGCTAAATGATGCATAAATGATAGTTAAGCAGTTGTGCATGCCTTACTTAGCAATGACAATAGCAATAACAACCACAAAAACAATAACAGGATATGCGTGAATTATTAAATTATATGATAATTCCGTTTAAATCAAAATACGGCGTACACTCACAAATGAAAATAAGCAATACAAAGGCTTGCGAACGAGGTGCGAGCGTTTACAACTTCGGCTAGGATACGTTGCACCAACGATTGGGTTAGTTCTTCGTAAAGTAAGACTGAGCTGTCCTCCTGTTCCTGAGCTGTCAGCAGACAACTGTCATTGCGATGAGATTTCATAACTGTAAGGTGCAGGATTTTCCGATACATTTCCCATATCTAAAGGTTGTATACCATATAATTTTAGCTTTTAAGCTTTTCACTCTAACCACGTTTGCATGTTTATCATGAAATGCATTTGAATCATGAAAGTCCTCTAGTCTTGTGGAAAACGAAAGACTAGCTAGCATTCTATATAAGAATCATACAATTATTATATGCCTGCTTAACTGCATTGGTAACTAAGATTCGACTTAAAACTTCAAACGCAGGCATTTATCAAGAGCTTACAACTTTCAAGACTCAAACCTGCTAACACTACAGCGTATACACATACTACCAAGTTCTGAGATCAAATGAGAGAAAGAAAAAAAATATTTTTACTTAAAATGCATCCTTGTTCATCACTTCAGTTTAAGTTTCCTTCAAAAATGATGCGATTAGTTAAACGCTCCTCTAACTTTCCCAATTCAATTTAGATGCAACGACGTACACTTAAAACCTTTCCCACAATCATATACCAAAAAAATGTAATCGAAGCGTCTTTGCTTGGAGCATCTTCTCATAATGGCCGCTGGGGATAGCGCCGGGTGGAGCAGCAGTTCAAATTCTATTTGCTACTGAAACCATTGACTTGCTTTCTAATGTCGATAGTTTTACGCAAAAGTGTAACTGGCATCGCTTCTTGATATCGTTACAAGATATCTTTGCCAAGTTTGCCGGACAGACAGTTTCGCTTTTCGATTATCGAGAATAATTTGAAGAATTTGTTGTCCATGTTTTTTGGCGTCCCACCTTGTCCAGTAGCATTTTAGGTTTGTATACAAACGTGTTTAGCAAACCGCCGACCAAGAGAACGTGCAACGAATAATATTCTTCTCCTTCAAAAAGCAATGTTTAGTCAGACGACGAAATTCACATCTCTTCGCAAAACTAAAACGTCACTGAACATAACTGGATATTGTATATAAATGGCCGAAATGACATCAAACTTCGTAAAGATGATATGAATTTTTTCGTTAGGGATTGTCGTCTCATCCCAGTTGCCAGAGTTGTTAAGCAAAGTGTTAGTGACCGGTTTTCTGCACAAAAATTTTGGAGCTGAAATTCAAATTCAAAAAATGTAAGCGTAATTGTAGTTAATATATTCTCTGTCCGTGTTTTTTTTTTTTTTTTTGTCTCTTTTTTGTCTCTTTCTTGTCCCGTAAATATAACTTTTTACACTTAAGCAGAGATTCTTTAGGAAGGGAGACAGACACTGAGTGATTTTATAATTCTCTCTAGCAATGAAATCGCTTCGCCCTATTACATGTTACGCTTCGTCCTGGGCATCGTTGAGGGTTCTGCGCCCTCAATATCCAAAAGTTTTTATTTTCTTTTTCATACAGGATACAGGTTTCTGGAAACATCTATTTATCTATTTATTTAATTAATTAAATGCGGCTACAAAACAAATCATTAACCGAATGTTAGCTACAAAATAACTTAAGATGTGTTAGTACAGAGGAGAAAGAAATGTAAATAAAGCTAAACGTAAGATCAACTTGTAATATATACCGGCGTTCAACTAAGCCCTGAATGAAGATACAAGGATAATATATTGATGAATGAATATATCCTTATTTATACGTTATTAGTAGGTGACAAATGAGAAACAAAACCAAATACAAAGCAATATTTTGGTTCAATTTACGCGTATTGTACAACACTCGGAAATGTATATCAGTTAATTATGCTTTTAATATTATTAACGGACAAAAGGGACAGATCAAGTAAGTGGTAAGAATTGTTGAACATTCTACACATTACCCGAACCGGATTGAGCAACTCATAATTGGTTCGCCATTGTGGTAGATGCAAGAGCACAAAGTACCATGAAATCCCTCTGATGGGGATGTGAATATTATTAAGCTCTAATAAAGCCGGCGATAAGACTTAAGTTCTTCTTCTCGGGTATAGCTCTACTAACTGAAACTTTTATATGACTATTAAAATTAAACTTTGAGTCGAAGACAACTCCAGAGCCTTTATAAGTACACACAATTTCCAAGATGTGATTGTCACTACGATAACCAATCAAATCAACATAATAGACGACGCAAAAGACATCTTCTTACATTTGTTTGAATTCAGCACCGTCCGATTAATTGGACACCATGAACGCAGACAGGTTCTCAATATCAGACTAAAGAAGTTTAGTACCATCTATTGGGTCCGAGGAGAGGGAAAGTTTAACATAATTTGCAAACATTGAAAAGAAAAATTATTCACATATAAAATAAATAAAAGCGAGCCAAGATGACTGCTCTGAGGAATGCCGGAAGTGAGGACAATTACTCTGGATGGGCAGAAATGCGCCAACATCGGTTGAGTGCACCAAAAGGGATAGCTACCGAACCAAGCAATTCAATTAATAGAGTAACAGCCTATGATCAGCTCTGTCGAAAGTTTCGGAAAAGTCCGTTAAGATAACGTCGGTTTGTTTGCGATCGGAAAATGCTTTGTAGATTGGGCTACAAAAATTCCAGAAGATTAGTGGAAATTGATTTACCTGACATTGCGATATAATTGACCCTAAAACCGGAGCAAGGCCTTCTGTTACCAAAGTATAACCGTCTTGGGTTTTATCAGATTAATAACCCAACTCTCCGTGTGCATTACTTGGAACTCTCACTACCTGGACTGATGGATCGCATTGCTGGTAGTACACTGGTAGTATATGCCATTTGACAATTTTCATATCTCTTTTGAATTCATCTTAAGTTCGCTTATTTTCGCTTAAAGGCAGTTCATGTTTGACAAATCATGCAATGATTGAATATTTATATGAAAAATAACTTTTTCTAACTTTCCCAAAGTAATCCAAGTTCGATTGGTTATGAATTTAACAGAATGCGAGAGACATTAAAATTAAAGTCTTTTTAGCTTAAGACTTTTTATTATTTTTTTACTTTAAACAACGCTCGATTTAATAGAGGTATTCTGATTGTGTTCGAAACGATAGAGTTAATTTAGGAGTTATTGAGACATCGTCACCAAATCTGACTTCATGTGGTTTTCAAGGATTTTCGTACTCCATTCATGAGACAAGCTTAATGCTTGTCAAGCAAGCGGTTAAATATGCTCCTCGCAATAAATGCAATGACGGCCGACTACATATTAATGATTGTGATATAATTAAATTCGGCTTGAATGTGTGCATGTGTGTTTGTGTGATTGTATGTACACTATTTCTCTTTTTCTTTCTATATATTTTTATATTTACGTTTCTTTTAACTTTTCTTGCTTTTGATTTTAAACATTGCTTCATCGCACTTTTATCTCAACGTATGTGAACGTATGTCTTTTCAATTCTCTTTTCAGTGTGTCATCTTTAGAGCATAATGATATAAAATTGACTGTATCAACGTAAAATTTATCCATCACACGGACAATTTTAAGTAAAATCCTAAATTATCGCCAAATGATTGTTTAAAGAACTGGAACGTGTGCACATGTTGGCCTGTTGACCATTATTGGCTCTACCCACGCTCGACGTCAAAAATTGTAAATCATTATTAAAATAAAAAAAAATAAAAAAAAAAATATTTTTACAATTTCTTAATCAATTTCAAGGGCAAAAGTATAAATTGAAAAATTAAAAATAAAAGTATCCGTGGATATATCAAAGAAAAAGGAAGAGGAAGAAGAGGAGTAGAGGAGAACGTCATATATTTTTAAACCTCAAAATCTAACTAACTATGAATTTACGTTTTAACGGGCATAACGATGATGAATGTGACAATTCAATATCATCACAAAATGCATTGCATTCCGAGATATACGCTACTGCTGGTGGCAGCAGAGGCAACAACGGTATATCATCAGCATTACCGCAACAGACGCAAATGAAAATTAAAACATCACTAACATCGTTGTCAGCAACGATAGCAAATAGTTGTTATTTGGTTAGTGTCAGTCCTAGAATTAGCGATAGTGGCACCTGCCTAATAAAGAAATCCTATAAACGAAAATCACAAAAATGGTACGCCTGTGACCAAGTAAGCGGCCGTCAACACCTCCTCAACTCCACAATAGATTGTGAGAGTTTACAAAATGTAGTTAAATATACCAGAATAAATAGCAAAAATTTTTGTACATATTTCCTAGTAACGTTAGTCATTTTAAGCTGCTGTCCGTTGGCCAGTGTACTGGCTATACTGCATAATAATAATTATGATGGAATAAGCCAGCCCGTAAATGCATTAGAGAGGGAGTATGAGAAAACCGCTAAAGCCACTACTACTGCCAACACTGCCACCATAGCCAGCACCAGCATTACCAACCCTACCACAGCTGCTACTGCCGCCGCCACCACCACCACTAGCACCACCACCACCACCACCACCACCACCACCACCACCACTACGACCACCATCGCTACCAACCGTTCTACCACTATAAAAGCCATCCATAATAACACCAATGCTACCACAATTAGTCAAAGCGTAAATAATAACGAAGCAAAACGTAACGGCAGTACAAATAGTTCAAGCAAGAACAGTAGTAGTGTTAGCATTAATTACAGCAACAACGATCAGCATATTTCAAACAATATATGGAATGGTTTGAGCACTAACAACACGGGCGTTAGCCGCACTAGCAAAAATATCACAACTGCTGTTAAACTAATTTTAAATGACTACAGTGAGGCCTTTTCGCAAATCATTAATGAAGAACTAGAACTGCTGCAACAGCAGCAACCCCATGAACCATCATTTCATAATAATATAACACGACGAAAAACCTACAACAACAACAACAATAACAACAGCAACAGCAACAACAAGAGTAAAAAAAATGAAAACAGCAATGTAAACCATAATAACAAAAGTAGTAGCAGCAGCGAAACGAGTAACTATAGTAGCAGCAATAGTATAAAATTTGGTACTGATACCGGCAATTTACAAAATTCTCAATCCAACGCTAGTAAAAATTATGATGCTGGCGATGAGTTTAATTTGCACGACGAACTGCTGGATAGCTTTCGTAGCAGTCATAGTTTACCGCACAAGCCCTACTATACCAATGAATTTGCCGTACATATACCAGCCGGCCATGACATGGCCAATATTATTGCGCAAAAATATGGCTTCACTAATATGGGTCAGGTGAGTGAGCTCTTCATATGTTTGACGAATTTCGCATGGCATAATATTTAAAAGTGGCCGGTCATTAAATTTTGCGGCAATCAGGTGCACTTAGAAATTACACTTAAAGCTAATTATTTTGTGAATAGTGCGCAAATAAATTCAGTAAATGATTTTTGTTTGTTCTTTTTCAACTCCCTTCATATCAAAAAAAAAAAAAAAAACGGAAATATTCAATTACAAAAATAATCCCAATCAATCAGATGAACTCCTAGCAGCTCTTATAAGGACGTCTCAAAATATTTCAACTAAACTAAATCTTACGGTTCCATCCGTTATTTTCTTCTTCCATCTTGTTAGTGCTGCATCAGATCGGATATGAAAGTGAACGTCTTCTGCGCACATTGCGTCAGGAAGCCGACATGATCGTTTAAGTACGATCCGCTTTCACTTTCCCCATCAAAAGAGTTTTCCCAGACAAGTGGACAAGTTGCAGCCATTTTTTTCAAATGGCTTGATGCCTTCAATGCAATTAAAAGAGCATTGGAATTCTTCGTGGTTACGACCTTCACGCACACGATGCTCTTCGAACATAAGTAAACATTTGGCATTAGTTTCTTTCAGCCTTAATAGGACTTTTGTCAAGACACGATGCTTTTCGTCATTTATTTTCATCATTCGCTGTTAACTGATTCGAATAAGTCTCGCATTGGTTACAACAGAAATTCATTTGAATAAATTTTTTAAAGAGTTATAGCAGACGAAGGTAGATGTTTGTCTCTTTCGTTCTTTTGCAGCTTTCTCCAAATGGCTAAACACTCATGATTGAGGATTGGACAGGACTTGAGTAATGATATCCTGATCACGTCGGCCACGTTTTGTGATTGACTTCAACATTGAAGCCTTCAATATATTACAAGAGGCCCTTTCATATATAGAGACTTTAAAAACCTACACTTACATCATGATAATAGAAATATTTTCGCGAATTTAACGAAACGTAATTATAAAGGTTAGGTTATATACGATTATCCGAGGTCCTCAAAGCGGATTCATCGGTTTTGTTGTACCAAAAGTAAACACAGTAAATAAAACACATTTCTGATTGAGATTTGCATTCAATTTCTTTTATATAAATTCTTTGGACCTTGCCATTATTCGTTGAATACAATACATACACAGCTATAAGGGGTACATATATTGTTAAAAGTTATTACAGAAACGATGAACCCACAGCTAAGTGTCATGCGTATGGGATGGGGCTTATATTTTGTGAAATGGTTTCGGTGAAAACAAAAGCACATCTGATATTTCCGAAGGACCTTTCCGTGCGCAAAAATCAATTCCCAAGTATGGTTTGTGGGCTGAAAATGCATTACAATTACCCTCCATGCAGAACGGATTGTTTGTAGCAAAAGTTAGATGATTTCGACTAAGACGGTATGTGGGTTAAAAAAAATTGGCTCAACATACGATAACTTTCGTGATAAAATCAATTCATCGTGAGACAAGTTCAATGATCGTGCAATTGAGAAAAATGCCTGCCTGACCTTGTCACATAGAGCACGCGACATGACTTTATTGAATTTTTCACTTTCGAATTCTCAGTGATCTCCTTCATCAAGACTCTTTGGCTTATTGGTGAAGTAAGGACAGATTTATGTGGAAAAATGTCAAAATTTAGTGCTCAAGGATTATACAGAAATCTGGAGACTAATGATCGTTAACATGAAATCATTTCTAAATATAATTTGCATGCTTCCATATCTGAAAGAAAAGAAAATTAATGCTGATGCTAGTTAGTTAGTTAGTGTTTAATGCAATTTAAAAAAGTAGCAAACACTTTCTTCGTGAGCCTATATTCACAAGTCACAAAAGCCAATTGATCAGCTCTATAAGCTCCGATTGCGATTGTATTTACGATTCACAGTAAAAGAAGCCGTTCATTTGGTTTTTGAAAGCCCGGCGGTCGCACGTAATGAAAAAGGAATTTTTAACACAGACATTGTCCATTCATTGTTATTCGTTGCTATGTGGTTGCTATACCCGATTTCAACTTGATTTTCTAAGAAAGAGAGATGTATTAGTATTTGTATGAAAATAGATTTCTTTGATAAATCGAGATGGCGATCTTAACGCGCCTGTCAGTTTCTTCTATTTGCAATGAAGAAATGAATTTTGTTATGCAAATAAATTTATTAAACAAATATTTTAAATAATGTCGAAAAATGCCGTACCATTGGTTTGGGTCATGCTTCTTGTATTGTTATCATAAAATTTCAACACCTTTTCCTCTGATTCTTTTTTCCTTTTCATTTATATATATATGTATATATATACATGTGTACATATGCACAATGCATGCACAAAAATATATTACAGATATGTATTGAATGAACAGCAGCACATTGTTTATAATTGTCATTGTTTATAATTGTATTTAAACAGATATAACGCAGCACAACTGTATTCGCACGTAAGCTTGTATATTATGTTCCATATGACAGCACTTAATTAAAATGCTTTCAACGAAAAATTATAATAATCAAAAAAGTGTCCGATAATAGCAAATAGTTTTTGTTTTTCGGTGTTTTTTTTATATTTATTTTTTTTTTTCCTTCATTTCAAAAGTAATAATTGCACTTTGTTTTCTAGAGTTTTTAAATTAACTATATATATATATATATATATATTTTTTTTTTTAAATGTTGAAATTGAAATTCAAACCAAAAAAAAAGGGAACAAAGAAAATTGCATTTAGTCGTGAGCGACTCCTTTATACCCATCGCCGTTATCTTAAAAAAAAAAAAAAAAAAAAAAAAGCAAAAAGAGGAAAATAAGTAAATTTTCATTCTCTATATATATGGATGGGTCGCGGCTGATTTTGTCTATTTTCAAAGTAAACGTGTTTGTCGCATAAGCTTGGCCCTGGAAAAGTCTAACTCAATTCCAAATTCTTTTACAAATTCGTAAACGATATCTTCATTTTTGCTAGCAGCAGCATGTTTACCGCAAACACTACACATTTGCGTAGACGTGCGGTTTATGAGTAATGAAGAAAAAAAAAATTTTTTATTCCTTTAAAAAAACACAAGTGTTCTTGGTTTGCATGGTACTCTGTAGGCGAGTCCTATGACCGATTTAGCCCATTGTCAATAAAAATTTACATGGAAGAACTTGCAATCGTTCCACCAAATTTGAAGCTGCTAGTTTCATTTGTTCAATAGACATTACACAGATGGACAGACGGACATGCTTAAATCGATTAAGAAATTGAAATTGATTAGGCGCGTTAATCCCTTGCAGCGTTTCTGAACCTTTCTTTTGGGCGTTGTCTGTGTTTAGAAGAACGCTGATCAAGAATAAATATACTTTGTGGGATCTCTGATGCTTCTTTTTGGGCGTTGCAAGCGTTTTCGAAAAATGAGTTTGCCCCGCATCTTATAAAAAGTCTTGAGTCGTCTCGAAAAGAGAGGAAATATTCCGATATAATTTTTATAGTTTTTCTAGATAACTGATCTCATCGTTCAGTATTCTGATTCAAAACTTACAATTTTTGTTGTTGTACAAATCGTAACATCTCATTCATAGCATTCATATGACAATGTAAATATATTTCGAAAATTATTTCATTTTAATACTTATGCAACTGCAGAGTTTTCTTCATAATTTCCCGTAAACTTATCATCAACTTAAATTTTAAATATTAAGCATGGTATCAACTTAAGTATATTAAATTCAGTGCTCGAACAATAGTAAAATTTCTTCATGATACGACAATGACTGATGACATCTGATGACATATAAGTTTTCATTCGAAACTTTTTAATTAAATTACTTTTATAGCTTAAGGGTGTTGGCTGAACGAATAGTTTTCCACATTTGTAATTCACGACCATAAATATTGATTTGCTAGCGCAACGAAGAGGCCTAAAGGCTAATAAAAGGCCTGCAACTCCGAACGTCCAGTATAATCAATATGTTACGTTTCAATATTTGTGTAATAAAAAAAAAACAATTTCAATCATGTGCATATTTATTGGCAGCATACTTTTAGGATTTAAAAAATTTTCAACTTAAGATAAAAAATACGAGCATTTTTGTCCAAGTTCTGAAGTTGTCGTCATCAACATCGTTGAACTGTCGAGCCAAGAAAAATGCAAGAAAAAAAAAAAAAATTCTTCTTAATAAAAACAAGTAAAAGCACTCTACTGGATCGCCATCACATGCCCTACATCAATCAAGAGCTATTTGATTGACTATTCATTACAAGGCATTGATCGAAAAAGTAGTGAAGCAAAACGTATAATTTAAACAAATTGTCGCAAATACGAAGGATCAGATGGACGGACAGACAACTTAAGATCAATACAGATAAAAGTGCTTCTGTATCTGTCGGTATAATGAAAGATGGATCTCTCTCTCTAGTCCTCCTTCTGCGTACTCCGTACATTCGAACAAACTTAATATACCCTTACAGCAAGAGTGGTGTAGTAGCTGTAATAAAAACATTTTTATTCATATTCATAATTATTTATTTAAATGTGTGGTTTCGAATCGTTTTACCCAGAATCTCCACGTGCCAAAAAGTTGGCTGCCACAGAAATTATATTAAATTTTTCAATTGTTTGTAAAGCGTAAAAACACCAACCGGAAGTCAAATAAATTATGCATATTCGTAACTACCGTGAGAGGATTAATCAGTTAAGCCGCATTTGTCTCTCCACATCTGCATATGTATACATATTTACGTGAAATAATTATAAATTAGCTTTTAAAAAATTCCTTTTTGTAAGAACGTCACTTTATATATATATATATATATATATTTAAAAATTCATGAAACGCACCCTTAAGTGTGAAAGGCAAATGCCTGCTCTTAACGTTGTTGTTGCCGCATTAATCTTACAATTACGTTGTCAATTTTTGCGTAGAATATCTTAAGCATATTATGCCACGCGTATATGTGTATGTGAAATAATAAAATATATTATAAATATATTTGTTATATTTTATTATGA